TAATAGTTTCTATACGGGTTTTTGCAAGGGCTCCATCAAGTTACTTTGCACGGTTTCAGCGTTTAGGGTTTAACGCCTTTGCTGCAGGGTTTAGGGCTGGGGTTGAGGGATTACAGTTTCGGGTTCAGGCTATGAGGTTCTTTTCGGACTTGTAGGCTGACAGTGCTTTATGACTAGGTTTGCCTCGGTTCCTCTAGGAGTTCCTTCAAGGGCTCCTGATAGGCCCGAAGAACCAAATATCCTTTGCGCTCCATGCTATAAACTTCTAGCAGTGAGGATGCCTGCTGAATGAGGCAATGTTCCCTCATCTGGATTCGGCCGGTCAAAAGATCTCGTACAGAAATCCTATGCAAGTACAAACCCCAAACCCCAAACCTCAGCCCCCCGAAGGTAGAAGCGCCGTCGTCGTCATCGTCATAGTAATTACAGTGCTAGTAGTAGTGCTAGTAGTAGTAGTAGTAGTAGTAGTAGTAGTAGTAGTGCTAGTAGTAGTAGTAGTAGTAGTAGTAGCAACCATCATCGTAGTAGTAGTAGTAGTAGTAATAGCAGTAGTAGTAGTAGTAGTAGCAGTAGCAGTAGCAGCAGCAGCAGCAGCAGCAGTAGTAGTAGTAGTAGTAGTAGTACTAGTAGGAGGCGCCCCCCCTACAAACTACACTTGCTTAAAACCATCTTAAGAGCACATCCGTTTTACTCGGTATTTACAGCACTTTCGTCATGTGCGATCATCATAAGAGGCCTCAAAATCCACTTGCCGAGTTTGCTAACTCGGCCACTTGATTTTGGACTTGCTGCGGGGGGGCAGGGTGGGGGGGTGGGCGGGGGATGATGACGACAGTGTTACGCAAACACAACCAACACTATCACCACAAGAGCCGTTTTACTCGGTATTTACGGTACTTTCGTGATGTCCTACTTTCTTATATAGTTGCCACCCCTACTTCTGGACTGTGTGTCTTAAACTTTGCTGTCTCGAACGAAAAGCCGAAAAAAACTCGAAATTCGCTGGGGGAACCGTTTTCCTCGGTATTTACAGTACTTTTTTTCGCGACCGCGCTTTTACTCGGTATTTGCCGTACTTTCGCACACAACCCCGAAGCTTTTTCCGGGGATGATCACGACACTGTTTCGCGGACACCCCGAACAATATCTCCACACCGAGCTCTTCCACGTACAGCTGGCATCTCTGTTTTTGATGTTTGTAAAATGTTGCGCTTCAGGTTTTAGGAGTGTTAAAACCTTCTTGGCAGCACTTGCGATTTGCACGGTATCTACAACGTTTTCGTACTATCCGACCACCTGTGGTTGAGCAGTTTCTTCCCCGTCGAGTTTGCAACTCCAACTGCTGTCGCAGTCTTGGGGCCTGATCCTCTGCGACTTCACCGACTGTGACAGTTAAGGAAAGTG